AAGTAGAAGTGATAAGCTTTAGACAGTGGGACTGAGCAAGCTGGCACCTGCAGAATTTCCACCTGTTGCTTCAGGCCTGTTTGTCAGTTGTGTGAGTAATGCCACCAGTTCGTTTACCACAGGTACACAAGGGTGACTTTCTAAACATACCATGTACCCGTTAGCCACTGAGAATAAGATCTAAGTCTACAGAGACCTGGCCTTGACTTTTTTCCTCCATCTCATCACCAGCCTTCTCTGGCTGTGACCTATACCCACCTAGCTCCTTCAGGCTCTAGGTGCTGTTTCCTGGTCTGCAAGTTTTTTGCTTTCTCCTGCTTTCGTGTAGGGGACTCGTTTTCCACTCCTCTCATTACCTGTCCCACTAATATATTTTTGTCCTCAGGCTGATTAGTGGACAAAGAATTTTGCGTGCAAACAGGGTTCAGATTTTCACTGACCTACTGTAAATGTTAAATGCCTTAAAATGGGAGTTTACCCGCCATTGTAATTTTTTGTCTTCTCCCATTTTAAATTCATTTAACAAAAATTTGTTAAATGCGTAACTCTGTCCAAGGCACGGTGCTTGCTATTATCTGAGCATCTGAGCAATACTAGATTTGACAAATGTCTCTTGAGGACTGCTTAAGTGGATATTGGTAAGAAAATAAAGCTAAAGTGAAACCCATTTACTTTTTTAGTACAATAAGACAGAATGATAGCAGTTTAGAAATAATTCATTAACCCACATATACATGTGAGCTTATTGAATTGTCTTATGAATATGTTTAGAACTCATTTTGCAAGTAGAAAAATCCATCCTGTACATTATAGGCAAGTAAGTTATAATTCATAATTTTTGCAAATATGGTAGTATCTGTAGGTTATACGGATTACTGTGACCAACGACATTTTAGCAGTATTTACATTTTCTTATTTTCTTCTTTGAAGAAATAAATGTGATTTAGTTGGTGGAAGAATTTTCTAATAGCATATTCTCAGAATAACCAGTTCGCTCATTAAGCAGGTTAAAGTAAGATAACACAGAAATACCTTGGTAAAGCTGAATTATGTGTTATGTTGTGTTAAGAGATATGATTCCATTAATACAGATCTTGAAAGCATGTTCCAAACTTCAATTAATATATAATTTCTATGGTAATTACTGTGTTTTGGGGGGACTATTGCTCATAAAATCAATCACAGGATGTCTTCAATTGGATCATTAAGTATATTTGTTCTCTGTTTGCTTTAAATATAAGATCCAAAACCTTTGAAATACCTTGAGAAGTCCACTGTATTATAATGTTATAAATGGCTGTTCATTCAGCAGGCATGGCGTGTACTGGGTGTGTTCTGAAAGCACTGCATTATATAGGTACTGGGGATGTGGAGTTCATGCCTTCTTCTATCATGGAGTTTATCTTCTAGTGGTTGAGATAGACAGTACCAGGAAACACATACACATACATGCACACATTCAGAGAGTGAAAACAGTGAACTCCAGTCATGTTGAAACAGCATTAGACTGTGAGGTTGGGATAGGGCTCCCTGGGGACATAACCTTTCACTTGAGACCTAAAGGATGAGAAAGAGCCAGTCCTAAAAAGGTTCAATCAAGGAGCGTCCCAGGCCAAGAGCACAAAAATATAAAAAGGCCCTTTCTGAGTTCAGAAGAAGTCTGGCATATCCACAGATTGGAGGAGGTTGTGGGTGTGGGATAGCAAGGGAGTTGGTGAGTAGGCAGAGGTAGCCTCAGAGGCGGGTGGACAGGCCCAAACCCTGCAGATCCTGGTGAAGACTCAGGTTTCCCTTTGAGGGCAACAGGCAGCCACTGTAGAGTTTTATGTAGGGAAGTGTTTTCTGTTTTTCTCTGAGGATCGTGACTATTCTCTGGAGAAGGGAGTGTCAGGAGCAGGGAGGAAGACTGAGTATCATCTAGTCATTGTAATGGTGAGACATAATGGAAGCTTGCAGTGGAGTTAGGGGAGACAGGAGCAGAGTAGACAGCACTGGAGTTGGAGTTGAAGGAACAGAGCCAGGAAGCATTTGGATGTAGCATAGACAGAATTGCTCATGTAGTTGGGAGGGGAAAATAATTTCTCTTAGTGCAGTATAAAAACAGGATGGCATGGCAGTAGTTACTTAGAGCATCTAGATTCCATTTTTGCTCCGTATCTTGAGTTAAAAGTTACTGCACATATTCATTATTATGGTGAAACTGAGTTTTTTCAAAAATTCAGTTCAGACACACTTAGAGCATGCTGCTTCTTACAGTTGGCTGCAGTGAATGAAAAGAAATTAAGAAGATGGCAGCAAAACTAAGCAGATCACGTCATCTAAAAGTATAAAGCATGACCTAAAGTTGTTTCGCTAATAGTAATTTCTTTTGTACAGAGAAGGTTCCTCTTGTAACCTATACAAAAATCAGGAAATCAATTTGAGCTGTAGTTTTACAATAATATTTTTCATATTTTTGTTTTTAGTCTTCTGAGTTCTTAGCTACGACGCATAAATTTTAGAAGGTTAACCTTCCAGGAGTCTGCTGTGAATCCCTCCTTTGACAAGCTGGTCCCCATGCTCCTTTTCACCTGACTTTTAAAATCATCCCAGGTGACTTTGCGTCCCTGTGGCCAACACTACCCAGTGACTCAGTAAGAAGGCGGGCCTTGGTGCCCCTTCTCCTCTTCTGTAGAGGTGCAGGGAGAAAGAAAGAGCCACAAAAGAGTTCAAAGTTTCTGAGGGTCTGTGGCCAAGCGGCAGGGCTTCCCATGCGAGGACAGGGCTGAGCAGAAGTGGCTCCCACTCCTCACCCCTGCGACAGCTGAGAAGCAGCATCTGTTTATTTGTTGCACATTGGTTTTGAGAATAAGATTTGGTTTGAATAAAGAACACACTGGTTCTTTCTAAAGGTTTAGATACAGTGTTCGAGGCTGTGGCCAACTTGCTTCCTCAGATGGTCCCAGCCTACAAATTGTGTTGTTTTTAGTTAAATTCTCAATGTGAATTGAGTTCCCCCAGCAGTAAATAAAACTCACATTTCCACTAACAGCCCCGAATTCCATGGCTTAGATTTTGCCTACTGCTGTCCCACCAGCTACCGTAGGAATTTTTTCAGAGGGCCTCTTCTTTTTCCTTCTTGGCAGAATTGGAGATTGAACCCAGGACGTTTGTGCTGAGCTACATCTCCACCACCCACCCACCTTGAGACAGGGTCTTGCTAGGTTATTAAGTTGCCTGGGCTGGGCTTGAATTTGTGACCCCCTTGCTTTAGCCTCCCAGAGTGCTGGACTTATAGGCCTACATCACCACACCTGGCGCAGATATCTTCTCTTTATGATACTTATGTCTCATGGGCCCCAGAAATTTGTACCTCCTACATTAGATCGATTCCTAGTTTTGGTTTATTTTTACCCGCTTTGAACCTACACTGTTTCTGAAATTTTGGATTCTTTTCCTATCTTCTGGCCATTGGGACAATGTTTTATTCCTCTCCCATCCATCTCTCAGAGACTACAGTCACAGAGGGCTAATGGAGCCTCATGTGGTGCGGCAGGAAGGGAGCTCTGAGCTTCACTGGGCTTGGAAAGAGGGTTCAGGCCTCCACTTGGATACCGGAGCCCTTTTGCTTTCTGTAATGCACCTGCTGTAATATCCCCACGTGTGGCGAGATCTCCAGCCCTGTTGCCTGATTGTATCCATCAGATCACTTCCGTTTTTAGTCCATCTAAGCTATCTTTCAAGTAAAATATAAGTATAACCCCAAGGTATAAAATAGGTGGCCCTCAGGTCTCAGGAGCAGACTTTCCTGCTCTCCCAGCCTCTCTCCCTATGCTGGGGCCACCCTGACAGCAGAAATCTTGAAATATTAGGGAACTTTGAAACATATCTCAGCAATTCCAGCACTATGGTGTAAAGATTTCAGAAGCAGACACAGCATTTGCATTGCAGATTGACACTTCCTCAAGATTCATATTGGTCACCCTTTTGATGCTGGTCTTCAGCCTCTCCTTTCTCCATTGTCCCTTTTATTGGGCAGATGTAGATGTGTACAGGCAGATGCAGTCTCCCAGTGCACTGTAATCTGCCTCTTCTGGTCCCTCATCTATGTGACCACCACAGTCACATTCCTGAAATTCACATCTGCCTGTGTCATTTCTTAAATTCCTTCCATCCTCATAGGATAAAGGTCTTGGGCATTCATCTCTGTCCTCATGGTTATCCATACATACCTGTGCCCTTATCTCCCACTCGCTGGAAAATACTTCCTGGTGAATCTTACCCCTCCTGATGTCTACCCACCTCCCAGCCACCAGGCCCTACTACTTCCTTAGTAGAGGATTCAGACTGGAAAACCTTACAACTTTTAGCTTTTGAGCCCCGCCACATCCCTAAGTGATGGGCCACCCCTCCTCTCTCTGTCCCAAGCTTACTGTTCAGTCTTGTGCACCTGTTCCACATAGTGGTGACCTTTGACCAGCTTGCCTGTTTCCTTCACTTAAATAGAAACTCTTCAAGGGCAGAAATATTTGCAGGAGGGGAGCTTACTCCCTTTCTGTCTACAGCTCCCAATCCCCTGGCAGATGCCCTACACATAAATACACTCCGTATTTGAGAATGAATCATCAAGTTACCACAGATGCATTTGTTGAGATGTGAATGGCAGTTATTAAATAAATCAACTCTGAATCAATAAAAACAGAAATCATTTTTCAAAGCTTCGTTGTTGTGGGACTTTCAGTGCACTGTTTACATGAGACCTCAGAGTTCGAAGGAAGGTTTTTATTTGTCATGCAGTAGAGGCATCCGCTGTGTGTAGAAGTCTTTTCACCTCAGTGGGGTTGGCTGTGGCTATCACCAGTTTCAGTGTTCAGAATTACTTGTATTCCTGATTCAAGGGAGAGGGGACTGTCGGGGTGTGTGTGTGTGTGTGTGTGTGTGTGTGTGTGTGTGTGTGCGCGCGCGTGACAAATGACTGGGAGTTTTAATGAAGCACTTACTTGGAAATTGTCTTTCTGCAGGTGATGTATCACCAATCAGTATGTCTCCCATCAGTCAGTCTCAGTTCATTCCACTTGGGGAAATCCTTTGCTTGGCCATCTCGGCAATGAACTCAGCAAGAAAACCTGTTACCCAAGAAGCACTCATGGAACACCTGACAACGTGTTTCCCAGGTAATGAGAAAAGAACAGGTATTTTCCAAATGCAGGTGTGCTCTGTGACTCCAGGACTTCACATGGACTGTTCTTCCCAAGGTTTGTTTATATTTTTGTTTTTGTTTATTTCCCCGCACTGGCGATGGAACCCAGGGCTTTCACACTGAGCTACATCCCCAGAGCACCTCACCCCACCTTTGTTTTTTAATTTAAAATCAAGTCTTGCTGAGTTGCGTGGGCTGGGTTCAAACTTGTCATCCCTTATAACTCACCCTTTCATAGTGCTGGAACTACAGACGAATGCCACCATGCCTGGCATTCTTCACCAAAACCAACCAGAAACTTCTTTTTTTCTTAAAAATCAGAGCACATCGGTGTTACATCAAAGGTAATTTCACTGCTTGAGGTGCAATACTTTTTGAATTGGCACCAAGGAAAAGAGAGAAGTGTGAAAAATTAACCAGAACTCAATTCAACTTTTGTAATCCGGCTTTCCTCAAATATAGGAAAATGGGGCTCGTCAGAAACAACTAACTGAGAATTTTAATCCAAATGGATTAAACTACAGAAAAAGTATTGTCAAAAATAAACACATCTTTTTAAAACTAATTTTATTGGTACAATGTAAATATATGTCATGATCATATTCATCAAGGAAATTTGCACCTGCACATGGTATATCTTAATTCCTCTTTCGCCCAATACCCTCCCCTCCCTTCAACCTCCCTCCTTATTTACAACCGCTTTGTTTCCATTTTTCCTTCTTTTCCCATTTTTTCTTTTCCCTTCCTTCTCTCCCCAACTTCCTGTTTCTCTTTCCTTTTGAACATTTTCTTCCTATTTCATTTTGGCTCTTCTTTACTCTTTCAGTTTCTCACACCAGAGACAATGCAGCATTGACACGTGTGTCTGCTTTATTTCACTTAAGAGAATATTCTCAAGGTGCATCCATTTAGCTCAAATGTCTCACATGTATCTTTTTTATGGTTGAGTAGTACTCTATTGTATAAAAAAGCCATATTTTGTATATACTCATCATTAGATGGACATTTGTGTTGTTTCCAAGACCTAACTATCACAAACTGTGTCGTTGTAAACATAGGTGCCCTTACAGGATTGGGGTATGATGCTTCTAATTCTTTCAGGAAGAGACGCAGAACGGAATAGCTGGGTCCAATGCAAAATAAACATCTTGCATGTTTGTGTCATGGCTTGATGAGCTTTAAGAAAATATCGTTTGTTAAAGTAGTTAAGATTTCATTTTAAAAAATAAAATACATATTTGCTTTTCTTTTAAAATATTATAAAAGGAAGATACCCAACCAGCTGTCTCTGGTGAAGGGAGGCTCTTCTTCCTGCCTTATAGTTCTCTATATCAAATCCAGAAGCTTTTTAAAATCCTTATTTTTATATAGTTTCCTCAAAGATCAGTCAGTTTTTTCAGAATCAGTTGCCTACCACCCACTATGGGTCTATAAAATAAAGAATGGAAAGAATGCAGAGCCGGTATATGAAAGTAAGATGCTTGTCCCTGTGAAGTGGCTGATAACAGTATTCCTAAGTTAGAATACTTTGTTGAGAAATCCATATATCATTTACAGTTAAAAGCATAAGTGGCTTGCTAGCTTTTGTGCAAATGAACTTTAATCCTAAGGCCTTGGTCTTAGAGGAACTGAGAGGACCTAACTGGAGCTTTTTCATGTGTGTGACACTGACAAATATTCATCAACCCTAGAAGTTTGCAGGGAGCCTGCAGAAACTTAAGTCTAGGGTAGGGGTTTAAACTGTGC